ATGTATGGATTGTGATGAGTTGTATGAGCCCCTAATAAAATGATTTTAAAAAAAGACATGTCATAGATAAAACACCAAGGATAAAGTCATCGGTTTGATGGGTGGCAGGGAGAATGGTGATAGAAAGGAGTGAAAACTGAAATGCAGGTTTTTGTCTCGGGTGACCAGATAGGTGACGCCTGCATGACTGGGTATGCCTAACAGGGTGCTATGATGGAATGGAACCTAGGCCATCCACAGTTTTAAAAATCAACAGTAAACTGAAAACAAAACAAAACAACTCACTGCCATAGAGTCTATCCCAACTCCTAGCCACCCCTATAGGGTAGAGTGGAATTTCCCCTGTGGGGTTATCAGACTTTTGACTCTTTAGAGGAGCAGAAAGTCTTGTCTTTCTTCTATGGGGTGGCTGGTGGGTTTGAACCACCACCTTTGCTACACCACCCAAAATTAAAAAACAAAAAACAAACTCACTGCCATCCAGTCAACTCAATTCATAGAGACCTTACGGGACTGAGTGGAACTGCCCCTGTGAGTTTCTGGGGCTGTAAAGCTTTACGGGAATAGAAAGGCTCATCTTTCTCCTGCTGAGTGGCTGGTGGTTTTGAATTACTGACCTTGAGGTTAGCAGTCCAACGCATAACCCACGACACCATGAGAGCTCTTTCAAATCAATAGCAGTTAGGTAATAACAGAAGCCATGAGAGTATCTGAGATTGATTAGGAGAAAAGTCTAGCATCAAAGAAGATGGGAGATCCAAAGGAAAGACCTGGGGACGCCAACACTGACGTGGTGTGAAAAGACTCATTCGTATTAGCTCATTGCCATCGAGTTGATGCCAACTCACAGAGATCCTATATGACAAGATATAGTGCCTATGGGTTTCCAAGTAAGAAGCCTTGTCTTTCTCCCATGGGGCAGCTGATGGTTTCAAACTGCTGACCTGGCAGTTAGCAGTCCATTTTCCAGCCATCGGGATGTGAAAAAAGGAGACTGAAAATGAACAATCAAGGAGGTAACAAGAGAATCTCTTACAAGATGTGACCAGTGCCTACACCTGCTACTGCGAACCAGAGACCAGCAAGCCCAGGGGACTGGTGACCAGGAGCTATAAGTGACCTCTGAGAAGCAGTTTTAAAAGTTGGATGGAAGCAAGTTGTAAGGGAGGTGGTAGAAGATAAGAAACTAAGACGGTAAAGCACTCACTTTTTCAAGAAGTTTTTTTTTTTTAAGGGCGGAGCAGGCGGGTTAGATGAAAAGTTACGTGAATGTTTGTGAAAATAAGAATGATATAAGTATGTTTGTTGGCAGTGGGAGAGAGGGAAATTATAAGCTGTAAGACTTTATAAAATAGATTATTTCAAAACAAAAATCATCTTAAAATAACTTCATTTTTCATAATTATAAATACTCTTAAATAATGGCATCAGGAACGAATACAGGATCAAGTTTTCTTGGACACATAATAAATGAGAGGGCTTTTGTGCAGTGTTTTGGAAAGATGGCTTAGCTGCAAAAATTAAGCCCTTACTCATATTTTCCCATATTTTTAGTGATGTGCTTTGTATTTACATAGTGATCAATTTCTTTAAAATTCGAATTTTTTTCTCAACATAAACAAGTGGTTTGAGGATTACCAAAATAAGCAGTTTTTAGTAAATCTCTACTACCTTACAAATAGAAGGCTCGAGGGGCTGCTCAAATTCAGTTACCGCTAAGTATATATAAAAATTAGTATGGAGTGCTTATGGCTATATAGGGGGTGGGGCTTGACCCCCCAGAACATAGACCACCCATGTTAACTACATGGACTGCACATTAATTGCATAAAATATGGGAAATGCTACCTTGTGGCTTTACATGAGGTGGTGATCATTCCTTGAAATCATCCAACTACATCAACTTTTATCTCCTAAGGTCTAAACAGATCCCATCTGTAATCTGTGGTAAAATACCTCACCTTCCATGGAAACCACACATCACATTATATTAAACATCATATTAAGGAAACCTCCTGCTGCCAATATAAAGCTATTGCTTTGCATGAAATGTGATTCGCATTCAAAAGTACCCATTTTAATTGTTACAAAAAATCTACAGAGGCAACATTTCATTTGAGACACACAGAAAAAGCAAAAATAGGAGTGAAGATTTAAAATCAAACATCTCAGTTTTTTAAATTAATTAAACAACTTTTAATCACACCAGTAGACATAACAACAAATATGATTTTAAGAGCGTAGTTGGTAAAGAGCTTCTTTAAAATGAAGTATCTCTATAAAGGAACAATGTTTGACTTATGAGAATTGAAGGAAATTTTACCTTAATTGCATCAATATGATTAATATCTCTGTGATTAAATACTTCATGGGCTCCATTTTGCAAGACAACGTTTCGACCTTCCTCAGTACCAGCTGTGCCCAAGACCTTTACGCCATAAGCTCTCGCAATTTGACATGCTGCTAGTCCCACCTGAAGCACACAACAGAACCCAGTAGTTCTGATTGGTTACAGTCCTCCAAACACTATTAAATATATACAATGACCTCGAGATTCTTCTCAGTCAGACCTTGTCCTTAAGGAACTTACAGTCTAAATCAGTGGTTCTCAACCTTCCTAATGCCGCGACCCTTTAATATAGTTCTTCATGTTGTGGTGACCCCCCAACCATAAAATTATTTTCGTGGCTACTTTATAACTGCAATTTTGTTACTGTTATGAATCGGACGACCCCTGTGAAAGGGTCATTCGACCTCCAAAGGGGTCAAGACCCACAGGTTGAGAACCGCTGGTTTAAATCAAGAAATAAGAAAAACAATAGCTGGGAACATGTAAAATGAACACTACCACGTTAAAGTACTTTGTCTATACATATATATGACTATGTATACATATTTATATATATACCCCCCCACATATATATACATCTATACTGTTTAATGTCATCCTCATAATAACCCTACAAAGCAGATGCTATTCTATAGATGAGGAAATGGAGCTTATTCCGAGTCATTCTACAGATGGAAACAGGAGCTGGACCAAATCAAGCTGCAAAGCTAGAGGTTTTAAACCAGGGTACTCAAATGTGTGCTTAGCACCTACTTTGTGAAGAAGGTTAGAGAAAAGATCATCAAAACATGCTCACTAACACTGTAGTTTAATTGTGCAAAAACTATTATATAAGAGATGTAAGGTCTCTACCATTTCTAAGAGGGAGGTAAGTGGGAAAATGGATGTATGTGTTCATAGGACCAACATTTATTGAGTATATATAACATCATGTTTGGTGGCAGGTTTGGTCAGTGAAAGAGGACCAATTGTGATGAGATGGGCTGACACAGTGGGCTCAATCAGGAGGCTAGGCCAGGACTGTTCTGTTGCCCGGAGGATTTCAATGAGTTGGAACTAAGTCCAAGACACCTAACAACAAATGATGTGCAACCACAAAAGGAAGGACAATAATAAACACGTTACTAAATTAAATTCAGCAAATGATAAATGTTGTGAAGAAAATAAGAGAGATGGCTAGGTTAGAAGGAGATGGGGGGAGGTATTTAGGCCAACTGCAGAGAGGACGCCTGAATGAAGTGAAGAACATCTAAGCAGAGTGAATGCTGTGGTTAAAGTGGAGAGGTGGGAAGGAATGGGAGAGCTCAAAGGGCACAGGAGTGTCGATGTGGAAGGGAGTGGATGGAGAGTAGGCCTGGGAGATACAGAGTGGCCAATCACAGAGGACCTAGACGGTAAAAGCAAAGGGTTTGGAACTTTCTTAAAAGCTAGGGAGAACTATGGGGGGCAAACTTTAGCAGGGAAGTGATATGATCTTATGTAGACTTTTAAAGATCACTTCAACTATAGGTGATGCAAAAGGAATGTGGGGGGCAGGGGAAATGGGAAGAGGGCAATCAGCTAGGACAATAGTGTCTAGGTAAGACACTGGGTGGACTAAGGTCGTGGAACTAGGAAGATAAAAAGCAACTGAAATAAAATTTAGAAAATGGGAGGTGAGGAAAAGAGAAAAATTAGAGATGCCACCTTTGGCCAGATTCACTGAGTAAATTAACTGAGACAGAGAATCTAGTTTGTGTAAGGATCAAGAACTCTCTACAATTCAAACACGCTGAGTGACATATTGCTCATCGAAAAGAAAAGGTTCGGCAATAAGCCAAGCATGGGTAAAGACACATAACTGTTCAAAGTAGGACAGAGAAATTTTAAATTCACCAGCTCAGAGGTGGCAGTTAAGGTCCTGGGATTGGCTGAGATCACTGATACCACACTAATGTGCTTGGTACAGAAGCATTTTTGGAATAGAGATAAACTAGTAATTTAATTACCTAAAAATCCTAAGATATATAGGTTTGAAATGCCAAAGGAAGGGTATAGGTGTCACATATATTTACAGCAGGGCTTCTCAACCTTAGTTTCTTTAACATTTTGACTGAAGAGTTCTTTGTTGGGAGAGGCTGTCCTGTGCATTGATGTTTAGTAGGAAGCTTTGCCTCTACCTACTAGATGACAGTAGCACACCCTTCCCTGGTTGTGACAACCAAATGTCTTCAGATATTGCCAAGTGCCCTTGGGGGAGGCAGTGAATCACGTCCTTGATAACCACTGATTTTCAAAAACTTTCACTCCTGCTGAGTGAATTCCAAATGATGACCCTATTAAAAAATCACCAAACCCACTGGCATCGAGTTGATGCCAACTCATAACAACCCTATAGAACAGGGCAGAACTCACCCTGTGTGTGTCTGAGACTTTATCTCTTTAGGAGAGTAGAAAGCCTCACCGTTGTCCCTCTGAGCAGCTGGTGGATTTGAATTGCTGAGCTGGGGGTTAGCAGCCCAATGGGTAAGCACTACCCCACTAGGGCTCCATAATAATAATGACCCTGTAGGACAGAGTGGAGCTGCCCTTGTGGGTGTCCAAAGTTATATTCTTTAGAGTAGTAGAAAGCCTCATTTTTCTCTAACGGACAGTCTGGTAGTTTTGAACTACTGACCTTGTGATCAGTAACCCAAAGTGTAAACCCTTATGCCACCAATGTGCCAGCCAACCACTGATTTATTTGGAGGATGGTAAAATCATGATGGACCAAGGAAAAGAGAAAATAATTAAAATGGACACTGATGATAGAAATGAATTAAAATTATGACAGCAACATTGACTCTGAGACTTGAACTGGACCTTGAAGGCAGGGAGACATGGGAGGATGAACTTGACTCTCGTCATGGCAGGGACTGATTTGATTTAACCAAAAACAATCAAACAAGTACATGGAACCCACAGTCTCCGGGGAGAGAGATACACCTAATTAGATGAAACACAATACACTCAGGGTCAGCACAATTGATTTTAACCACTTTAGTTTTCAATTTGTATAAATCTAGACCTCTAAATGAAATTTTCAACTCAAAGTTTAATGTAAATATAACTTCTCCTTATGCTTCAACTGCATTAAAGGGAACTCAATAGCTATTTTAAAGGCCCTGCTTATTTCTATTCTTCTCAACAATTACACTAGCAATATTCTTTCAATAGATTATGCACCATTCCTTCTACATATTTTGCAAACACTAAAATAGGGCACTTTCCACCAACATATCTGGATAATAGCTATGTCTGTAAATTCTACAGCATTTAAAATATACAACATAATCCCAAAATCTGAATTCCATGAGAACAGAAAGTACAAACAGAAGGAAGACAAAGCCCAGTACTCTGTGCTCCTCTGATAGGGTGGTAAGGATCAGAAGCGCAGCTTCACACACCAGGTCGGCAGCCTATCCCCGCCAGCCAAGGATTTAACAGACTCTCTGCCAGCTCACAGAGCAGTGCCGAGTTTCCCTTTTTGAAAAAAGAAACATTTTTTTTCACAGTGAAGCAACTGGGCTTTTTACAAGAGTGTAAAGGGACTGAAAAGAGATTTCCTTTAAACTCTTCTCCCGCACCCCCACCCCTCCACACTGAAATCCCTTGTTCTACACAGAGCACAAGGTGAGCTTTCTGGAAGCCGGAACAATTTAAATACATGCATTTGTTTGATAGATGCTTTAGCTGTTTAAGGTTAAGATTAATTTAACCCAAGCATGGCCTCTTCAGTGAAGCCACACAATGGGTATTTTGACAAGGCCTATAGGTCATATTTTATCAGATCCTAGAGGGACACTCTTGATGTTTTTTAGTAAACAGTAATGATCTATTAAGTCCCTCAAAATTGATGTTTGAAGTACATGAGGAACTGGATATGAAACCTTGTGAGAGTAACAGAAAAATATAATGGGCTGATTTTTTTTTTTATTATCTACCTAGCTTTAACCTTTCAGTATATCACTCCATTATTCTGGGGGCAATGTATTATTTTCACAGGGTACTTCTTTCAACTTAGCCCTCCATGCCCCTGCAAAACACACAGCACTCGGAAAGGGTTAACTAGTCTCCTCAAAGCGAGCCATCTACCCTCAGGCCCTTTGTTTTAGAAATGTGAAAAAAAAAAAAAAGAAATGTGAAATCTTGTCTCCAAAATTTTCTAAAGCCTCCACAAGCAGGATGGAGGTCATGTGGATTTCTTGTTAAATTCCAACTTCAGTGCTCTAACTTTTCCTCTAAGCTCCTTAGAGGCAGACTGACAGCTGGTTTCTTGAAGAGGGTCCTGACAGCCATGTGGATGGTGGCTGATTTCACTGAAGGGCTTATTTTATACGTTCTGAATTTTCTCTTCCTATCCTCCCACCCAACATTAGCATTTTAAGCCATAGGTTGTGGTGTCAAGGACACAGCTGTATACAGTGCACTCCATGAATGTCATCAAAGCACAGCAGGCAAGTCAAGGCAGGGAAAGAGAGAGACAGGACTAAGAATTCACAGTGTGGCTTTGTGGTTCTGTCTGGGGCAACATAGTAGGTAACGCTTTAATGAGCCTCCGATTCCTGATCTGAGGGAATTTGGAATTAATATTAACCTAAAAAGAGCTGTTTAAAATGCAATAAATAGTCTTTTAATAGATGCTCCTTGAAAGCAAGCAAGCAGGAGGGCAGATTATCTTGGTCCACACTCAACACAGGTAGAAATCCTAAGACTACATTTTTGATGCGGTAGTTGGTTGAATTTATTGACCAAGCAATGCTAAACTACTGACAAAAGGATTGCTATATAACTTGTGTATAAGCGGAGTTTTTCAGCACATTTTTAATGCAGTTTTTGTGGTAAAATTAGGTAACCCGGCTAATATTCGAGTCAGTTTATACCTGAGTATATATGGTATCTTCAGAAGCAACTTCATTATAGAAAGGAAAATGGCACCCTTCACTGTATTTATAAATGTAGCTTTGAAAAATCACTAAAAGAAATACAACGGACAACAGAAAAGTGGGTGAAGGGAGACGTCAGACAGGGCAAGATATGACTAAATAATTTATAAATGATCAAGGGCTCATGAGGGAGGGGGGAGTGGGGAGGGAGGGGAAAAATGAGGACCTAATTCCGGGGGCTTAAGTGGAGAGGAAATGTTTTGAGAATGATGAGGGCAATGAATGTACAAATGTGCTTCACACAATTGATGTATGTATGGATTGTGATAAGAATTGTAGGAGCCCCTAATAAAACGATTTAAAAAATAAAATAAATAAATAAATTATGACACACCAAAAAAAAATCAATAAAACATTTTTCAAACACACACAAAAATAAATATAATGGAAAACCCACAAAGCTCTCTTACAAGAAACTTAAAAAGATAAAATAAAAATACTTACTCCTCCACTTGCCCCATGAACCAAAACTGTTTCTCCAGCTTTCACACGGGCACTGGTGGGATGGGGAAAAACACACACACACAAAGGTTCCATCACTTTATTTTTTGAAGTTAATTAAGCTGAGGTGCTTTTCATTATGTTTAATTAAGTTCTTCCCCCAGATTATCTAGCATTTACCCCATGAGAAAACCCATCCCTCCAACCAGCCCAAAACTCTTCCCCAAGTCCCATGGGATCAAACATTGGTCCTTCCTGGCCATTGGTAAAGCAAAGTCTTTTTCTTCCTTCGTTTCTTCATCCCTTCTCTTTCCTTTCCTTCCTTCCTAACTTACCCCCATCGTTCTGTCCTATTCCTCACTCATTCACGCAACAAAAATTTCTACGTGACAAAGAATCCTGAGAGCACAAATGGTTTGTAGTTGGCATTAACTAGAAGGTTGGCCCACCCAAGACACTGTGGATGAAAGGTCTGGCAATCTGTTCCAGAAGCTCACAACCACGAAAACCCCGTGGAGTGCAATTTTACTCCACAGCACGGGGACTTGCCCCCGTCAGAACAGACGCCCCGAGAAAATGGTTTCGACTGTGTGTGTGTGTGTGTGTGTGGGTGGGTGGGTGTGGTTTCATCGTGTGCCTGGCCCTGGGCTGGATGCTGGGACCTCATTCAGCATAGGAGTGGCTGCAGCCCTTACAGCTTCTGTTAAGTGAAACGGCGGGACTACAGTCTCATCTCACTCATTCCCAAAGAAAAGTGTCAAAGCAGGTTTATTATAGCTCGTCCTTTATTCTTATAGTCCAGATTAATTTCCAAGTAAACACAGGGGCTAAACTCTTTTTCCCCAGGAGAAAATACCATATGTACTTCTCCAAGTCGCCAGATATCAGGTTGTGCCAAGCCTTATGTCCACAGATCAAAATGCACACTCATTCGACAATGATAAGAGAGTAATGAACAACAAAGCCTGCCACAAAGGTTTCCAGGTTACTCTTTAAAGTTCCCAGGTCCTGTGGTAAAATGCTATTTCATTCTTTTTACTTCTGTACATAATGTTTCTATTATGTTCTAAAAAACAAGGAACAAGACAGCTTGTGGGGGCTTGGGGAAGAGTTTTAGTATTCCAGATGGATGAGTGCTAATGTCACATGCCAGTAGCTGCTACTGGATGCAGATCAGACTCCCCAGGAAGATTTCACACTTCTTAGAACAATGCGAGTCAGGCACACTGTGGCGATACTATGCTCAATGTGGTGAGAACACAGAAACCTGGAGTCCTGCTCAAGGTTCGGTGCCAACAGCGAACACAGGGCAATAGTGAACGGTAAATTAATGGCACTTTAGCTTGGGGATTAGGGAGAGGGGGTTATGAGTTAAACTGAGGGACTAAGTGGACAAAACATGCAATACTTATCAATGAATTAAAACAAAAATAATCTTATAAACAAGACTACGAACACACGTTCCTAAGACCCGGGATCTAGAAGTAGGAGGCGAGAACAGGCCCACCTGCTGGCTCGCTACCATTAGGCTGACAGGCGTTCTCTTCTCCCGGGTGTTCTGCCCCCATCGAGGAGATGGCAACATTCACCCAAAGAAATCCCAGCACCGCCACTCCTGATTTCCTCTCACATGAGCCGCTCTCCCAGGGGGCTCAGTCTGCTAAACAAACCCAGCCATTGCACTTGAGAACATCAGACACCAATGAACATTATTATGTCAGTAATTCTCACTCTAATTCTATACACACAGATCCTTTCAAAATATTTCCTTCAACTGCACAGACACCTCAATGCCTCAGAAGAGCCGTTTCTGCCCACTCAGTGCTTCAGGTCTCACTCCCTCTTTCCTACTTGCCCCAGATATGTCCCCAGCTTCTCTCTCACCAGTGCTCTCCTTTCCTTTCAGCGATTGCATTTTGCCACCAGCACTCCAGGCCTAGGCTAATGACAACATTTACCCTCTTGTTACTTTATCCAAAAGGCTGAGCACTGGAGAAGAACGTCATTGAACTATGCATGTTGGTGCCAGTTCCCTTCTCAAAAGATCACTTGGACTTAATTAGGAAAAGAAATGTGATCACAATGAGCTTCCCAAACTCCTGACCCACAGACGTTTCTACAAGGATACCATCCTTCCCTCTTCTAGGCGTAACGGCTGACCGATCTTTTTTACTTGAAACCAAATTCTCTACCTCTGCTTCAGACCTTTCTACCTTGCCTCACCTAAGTTTTGCTCAACCACCGATTGCTCCTTCTCTGACAACTTTAATCTTTCTCTCCACACGGTCTTTTCACCAAGCTACAAACATGCTCAAGCACATCCTAAGAGAAGCCATCTTTGTCCCCATCGCTGCCATTCGGTGCAATCAAATTGGTTCCAACTCACAGAGATCCCATGCACAATAGAACACAATCCTGCCCAGCCTACCCCTTCATCACAATTGTTTCTATAATTCTATATTTGAGTTCATGGTTGCTGCCAATCTATCCCACTGAAGACCTTCCTCTTTCTCACTCTTACTTGACCATGCATGATGTCCTTCTCCAGAGACTTGACCTTCTGATAATATATCCAAAGTGCATGAGACGAAGGTCTCATATTCCTTGCTTCAAATGAACATTCTGGTTGCGTTTCTTCCAAAACAAAATTGTTCATCCTTCTGGAAGAAGAATCTAAAACTAAACCATTGAGTCAATTCTGACCTTATAGGACAGAGTAGAAGTCTCCCCGTTGGATTTCTGAGGCTGTACATCTTTACAAGACTAGAAAGCCTCAGCTTTCTTTCGTGGTGTAGTTGGTGTGTTTGAATTGATCCAGCAGGGTTCCTTCTATACCCATACTCTCCCAAAGTAATCTTCTAGTCTCTCCTTGTTTTCCCCATCATGAAAACAAACAAACAAACAAACACACCTAGTGGCACAGTGGTTATGCATTGAGCTGTGTTCCACAGGATCAACAGGTTGAAACCACCAGCTGCTCTGCAGGAGGAAAACCAGGTTTTCTACTCCCATAAAGATTTACTGTCCCAGGAATGAACAGAGGCAGTCCTCCCTGATCCTGTAGGGCTGCTATGAGTCTACATTGACTTGATGACAGTGAGTTGGGTTTGGGTTTGAGTTTCCATTCAAGAAATTGATTTTCCCTTCATTCCTCAACCCATTCCATTCAGCCTCTGCCCCACCAATCTACTGAAAGTAATCTAAAGTTACCAGTGATCTCTGAATTGCCAAACCCCACTGATATTTTCTTAAATGGACTTCATGGCAGCATTTGACCATTGGATTTATCTCTTTTAGTACAACACTAACTGTCACCACTAGCGATGCCAACATAAAATTTTAAACACCAAACTCTTAATATATGTCAGTTTCTGTGCTGAGTTTTACATGCATCATCTCATTTCATTCTCACCTCACTCTATAAAGTAACTGCTGTTAATAATCATGTTTCACAAATCAGAAAACGATAGCTGAGACAGAGAAATAACTGGCCCCAAAGTCACATAGCTAGCGCACAGTGAGAATAGTATTCTATCCCAGATCTGTCTTTCACTTGCTTTTACACTAGGATATTTGGATGTATTGTTCTTGGGATGTACTCCCTTTGATTCTCCCCAAGACTGTGCCCCCTTCCAGGGCTATCCTCTGAAATGCTAGGGAACCTAGGTGTTCCCTAAGTCTCATACTCATTCTATATTTCTATGCCTTGTTATCTTGTGCAATATCACCTATGTGCTGATAACCTCCAATTGCTGCCTCTAAATTTTAAGCTTCAGATCCCTAAACCCAACAGACTGCTAGACGTCTCCATTGGAATGTCTATCTCTGAGCTTCAAGCCAAAGCCGGACTCATCATTCCCTTTGGAACATACTATTTACTTGTTTCAGTTAGCTATTACCCAAGTGAGGAGGTATGCTTAAGCCCTTCCTGTCTCATTCACCAAACAACTGATAAAAATCCCGATTTTGTCTTCCTAAACAGCTGTCCATTTTTCTTCGTCACTTTTACCAGGGCCCCTGCTCTTGTCCATAGGTGTTTTATCTGAAGGAGAATTTACAGGAACCTCCTAACTGTCTCCTTTTTATCCTCAAATTCATCCTTCACACAGCAGATAAGTGATTTTGGTAAAGCACACAAATCTCAGTAAAACAATTCATAGCTCCCAATCTCTCAAGTGCTGAGGGATAGTATCATCGCCCCCATGCATTTTTTAAATCATTTTACTGGGGGCTCATACAACTCTTATGACAATCCATACATACATCAATTATATAAAGTACATTTGTACATTTGTTACTTACCCTCATCATTCTCAAAACATTTTCTCTCCATGTAAGCCCCTGGCATCAACTCCTCATTTTCCCCCTCTCTCCCCTCTCCCTCATGAACCATTGATAATTTTTAAATTATTATTTTGTCATGTCTTACACTGTCCGACTTCTCCCTTCACCCACTTTTATATTGTCCGTACCCCAGGGAGGAGGTCACATGTAGATCCTTATAATCTGTTCCCCCTCTCTACCCCACCCTCCCCGTATCACCACTCTCACCACTGGTCCTGAAGAGATCATCCGTCCTGGATTCCCTGTGTTTCCAGTTCCTATCTGAACCAGTGTACATCCTCTGGTCTAGCCAGATTTGTAAGGTAGAATTGGGATCATGATAGTGGGTGGGGAGGAAGCGTTTAGGAACTAGAGGAAAGTTTATGTTTCATCGTTGCTAAACTGCACCCTGACTGGCTTGTCTCCTCCCCGTGATCCTTCTGTAAGGGGATGTCCAAGCTCCCAATCTCTTATAGAACAATGTGTGAAATCTATACTCTATGTTTTTGTAACTTGGAACCTACCAATGAGAGGACTATGTTCCAGCCTATGCCTTGCCTCTTTTTGTCTCAAAAGCTCCTATGCAACAAAACCAAATTGCTACAGCCCTTCCCGTGTAATACACTGTTCTCCCCATGCTCTACGCTGTTCCCATCCCCAAAAACCCCTTCTGCTCTTCCCCAGGCTAGCTTCTTTCTGATCTTTTCAAATAGCTGCAAGATCAGTTAAAATGTCGTTTCTCAGATTCCTGCCCTAAAAACTGACAAGCAGGCCCAGGACAGGGCACTGGATTGTACTTCTGAATTATTGCTCACATGATTCTGATGTGTAACAAGATGTGGAACCAGGGCTTTCAGCGAACCCAAGCCTCCCATCCTAAGAAGCCCTGTCTGATCAGCATCGGCACACACTTGTGAGCCCATGAGTCGCTAGACACATCTCTACCACTGCAGCTTCCGCATCATATGTAGTTGTTGTTACTCTTACATCTATCTCCCTTGCTAGACAGGAAACATCTTGAACACAAAGAACATTTTGTTCCTCAGTGTATCCCCAGTGATGAGCAAACCCCTCCAAATTAGCAGTTTCCACTCCATAAATGCTTAATGGTAAATAACTGGTAAGTCAAAGTGACAGGCAGGTGGAGGGACAGATGGCAGGAAGAAGGTGGTTAATATTGTCCTTCTTTGGTGCTAGTTCTATTTGGCAGAGCGTGCTATTACCTGTGGAGCAGAGCTCGGCATGCAGTGAAGTAAGGGGTACCGATGGCCGCTCCTAGCTTCAAGTCCAGTTTGTCTGGCAGTGAGTAAACCATGTCTTCGGCTGCAACAGCATACTCTGCATAGCCCCCAGAGACTGTGCTGACAGTGAACACTCTGTCACCTTTCTAGGGGAAGAGATCAATTAATAAATGCATTGGGATTCAAAGAGAAGTCAAACCAGGCACAATCCTTTATAACACAACCTTCGTCAAAAAATAAGTGACTATATGCTGTTGTCTCCTAAAACTGATGGGCATCAAGTCAATTCAAATTCACTGTGACCCTGTATAGAGTTTCTGAGGGTATGTATCTTTCTGGGAGTGACGAGCCTCTTCTTTCTCCTGTGGAGCAGCTGGTTGGTTTGAACTACTAATTTTGCAGTTATCAGTCCAGCGCTTATCCCACAGTGCCACCAGGGTTCCTTTGTTGTCTAATTATTAGATCTCATAAAACTAACTTTTAATAATATTCAAATTTTATAATGTTTTATTAATGAGAACCTGTGAGAAGAAAGATTAAAGATTAAAGTTTTTAAAAAGATGAAAGAAATAGTAAAAATTAAAGGAGAACCTTCAGATGCCATAATGATAAAGATAACTAACTTTTATTGAGAGCTTTTCTTGCTAGGCACTACATATAGTATTTTGTTCCTAGTGCCTACTTTGGTATCACAACAACCTATAAAATGGGTACTTTTATTATCTCCAATTTATATTAAGCCCACTATATAGAAGAGGAATTTTATAAATAAAGAAGTTCACCAATTTGCTCAGAATCAAATAGATAGAAATTATGTGACAGCACAAACTATTATTCGCTGTTAAAAATGCTGCAGAAGAGAAACAAATACAATGGAGTCTCCTCTACAGACCAAACACATGTGCTAAATCCTGTCATGAATTTCTTCACTTCTGCATATCTACCACTTTTCATCCCTGCACCAAATAGCAAAAAACAAAGCTGGGATCTTGTCAGCAGGCCAGGCCAGGCTTCTTCACTTGTCACAGCACTAGGAACAGCAAACGCTCAATAAGTCTACTGAATCTTTATCATTCAGAAGCACCCATATGAATGAGGGAGAGGTAAGACACTCTACAGGCATAAGCCTAATATGACTTGAACAGTAGGAGAAATAAACCTGCCCACTACAAAGACCTCCCTTAGCCCTTTTTCATGAAAAGAAAAAGTCTTAAGAGCAGGAAAGATATTAGGACAATACTTGCCCAAATATCTATATAGTATAGCTAAGAGATCTGAAAAATAATAGCACTTGTACAGAAGGACAAAGAAGGATTTTGAAAGGTATCTAGAAATCAAAGACAAGCATCACCAGCTTAATACTGCTGTCTGCAAATGCTCTCGAATAACCATGTCAAGATTAATCTTGTTTCTAGAGCTTAAAAGATATGTTGAACTGATCTCAATACAATCCAAATATTTATTAAGAATCCACTATTAGAAAATGTTGCTTTACCTCTATAAGGAAAAATACTAGCAAGACACTGTAAACTCTAGCATCAGGTTTTCCTGTTTCAGATGAGGATTAATATTGTTAATAGAATTCCTTGTATAACATAAGGAAATGCTTTCCATATAGTAGAATCTTAGTAAATGTTTGAACTGTATTAAAACCAACTCAAACAGGCAGTCAAAGACTACAGTCTTCAGAATGAATCACACCGGAATATGAAGAAACAGAAATCCTCACAATTGGACAGATAACTGATAAACAGAAAAACTGGAGTTGCCAATAAATCCATTCTACTTGGATCAGCAAGTGTATGGAAATAGCGGTCTATAAATTGACCAGGGTATTTCACTGGGCAAATCTGTTGCAAAGCTCTCTTTAAAGTGTTAAAAAGCAAAGATGTCACCTTAATGAGTAACATTAAGGTGCGTCTGACCCAAGCCTGGACTTTCCAATTCTTCATATGGATGTGAAAGTTAGATAGTCAAAAAGGAAGACAGAGAAACAATGTGTTCAAACTGTTGTGTTGATGAAGACTACTGAGTACGCTGCAGACTGGGAGAAGAATGAGGAAATCCATATGAGAAGAAATACAAACAGAACCCTCCTTAGAAGGATGGCAAGCTAACTTACTTTGGACATGCCACTCTAATGTGAAGATGGTGCACAATGGGGCAATATTTCATTCTGTTAGACATAAAATCGTCAGGAGAGGCAGTGCAGACACAACAGCAACTAACAATAGCAACCTCAGGCATCCAAAATCTTGGAGGAGGGAGATTAAGATGATATAAATAATTATAAAGTGGGAAAAATATGACAGTCATCAAAGTATTTAAAAAAATAATTATTTTTAAACTGAGGAAATAAAAAATCTTTCCATTGAGAAGCTAATATATGAAGGATAGTACATTTTGAAAACTAGAATTGGGAAGAGTCATTACAGGAAAAGGGAGCAGTAATTTGGCATTGATTTATGTCTCCCAGAGAGATATATTTATGTTCTAACTCCAGTACGTGTGGATGTGAGTTTATTCAGAAATTCAAAAAAATCTCAAATACAGTTAAGTTAACATGGGGTCATATTGAAATACAATGTGTCCCAAGTCAAAATGATTATAAAACAGGAGAAAAGACACACAGAGATCAAGAGAGAGAGAGAGAGAGAGAGAAGGAAGATGGCCATGTAATGACAGAGACAGACGATGGAGTTGTGCTGCCACAAGCTGGGAAAGATGAGAAAGGATCAACTTTGAACTTTCAGAGAGATTTAATCTTCTGATACCCTGAATTGAAACTTCAAGCCCCTAACAGTATGAGATGATACATTTATGTTGTTTTAAGCCACACAATTTGTGGCAATTTGGAACAATTGTCTTATGGAACTAATATGGCAAGCAAAGAAAGAGAGGCATGAATAAATGCTGAGAAATTACCTGCATTTATCCCCAGTGAACAAGTAGTTCAGTACTTGGTATGTTCAAGAGATAAACTAGAAAAAGATTAATGTGGAAGTGTAAAATCATGTTTATGACTTCCATTTTAATTCTGCCAAACAGAAGAGCCAATATGAACAAAGACACCGTGATAAAAGAACATAAATGTGTTGGGAATGACAAGCAACTCGTTATTAAAAAATAACGAGAGTAAGAAATGAGAATGGAAAGACAGATGGAAGAGAGATCATGGAGTATTATTTCATAACAGAATGAGTTTCAAAGATAACCTGAAGACTACAAGGAATTAAAAACCAAAACACATGCTAAACCCATGGCCATCAAACTGCCTCCTAAACATAGCATTGCCATGCCAGGTTTTCAAGACTGAAACAGACAGACTCATCTTTAACCTATAGAGCAGCTGGTGGGTTTGAACTGCTGACCTTGCAGTTAGCAGCCTAACACCCTAACCCATAGCACCATCAGGGATGAAAGCAAGAATTAAAACAGAGGTGTAATTCAACCAAGTTTACATTTTCGAAAAAATACTCCTTGACTAAGGGAAAATTTGAGGAGGATGAAAGGAGGGTAGTAAGTATTTACTAGAGAAATTCCTAGTGGTTAGTGATTACGCATTAGGCTGTGATCTGCAAGGTCAGTAGTTTGAAACCACCAGCAGCTCCACAGGAGACAAATGAGGCTGGAAAAGAGTCCCAGCCTCTGAAACTCAGAGGTGCAGTTCTACCCTGTCTATGAGTTGGCGTTGATGAGATGGAAATGAGTTGTGTTTTTTAATAGAAATTCATATAATAATCACTGTCATGGATTAAATTGCATCCTCCCAATATGTGCCAACTTAGCTGAACCATGATACCCTGGTTTAGCGTAATATAATGATGTATGTGACAGATATATAAGGATCCTTTATAATGAAATCTGATGTGATAAATCAAAACAAGGATCAAGGACAAGATGCAATAACCTTAATTCTATCACAGGTCTGATCAGAAGGAAGGGGGTTTTTCCTGAGTGTAGCCTGCAACACCTTTTATTTTTTAAGAGAAAAAGAAACAGACAAGTTAGCAAAGATCAGAAGGACCTAATACCACCAAGAAAGAAGAGCCAAGAGGAGAGTCCATCCTGGGATCCAGCCTCCCTACACTAGGAAACTCCTAGACCCAGGAGGAAATTGCTGCCAAGATACATGGAGATCTTCAAGGAAGGTCCACAAATCCACAAATGTTGAAAGGTGCCAAAGGCCTTTCCCCAGAGCCAACGTAGAAAGCCTTCCCCTAGAAATGGCACTTTGAATTTAGACTTCCCGGCACCCTGTTTACGTAGGGGATTACGCATTGAGCTGCTAACTGTAAAGTCAGCAGTTCAACCCATGAGTCGGAATTGACTCCATGGCAGTGAGCTTTTGCATCGCCACATAGGAGAGAGATCAGGCTTTCTACTCGCGTCACGAGCTACAGTCTTGGAACTCCACAGGGGCAGTTCTAGTATGTCCCATGGGATCATTAAGAGTCAGATTTGACTCCATAGTAGTGAGTGTGGTTTGCGTTTGGAGGTTGACCATGTGGATTCAACACTCTCCAACAGTACTTCTTTGATGGTGGAAATGTCGTACATCTGAAGCAGGTACATAACACAAGAAGCTAAGGTCAAAGTAGGCAGAGAGCGGAGGTAACACGAATGAATAATTACACATCCAGAGAAAAAGAGCCCTGAAAACAGATGTCAACATCGGAAGAAGCGAGAAGAGCAGGAGACAATGATGTCACAGAAGCTGAAGAAAGAGGGTTTTTTTCTCTCAGAAAAATAAGTGTCTGAGAATGTCAAAAGTCACAGAAAAGTCAAGAAAGATAATGACATAAAAGGGCCCATTAACTTCAGCCATATAGAGGCCATTAGTAACATTAGCAAGAATCATTTCAGTGAAGTCATGGGGGCAGAAGCCAGAAAACTGTATGAATTTGCCCGTCATCCTATGCAAGGGCCATGTTAATCTCCTCTGTGTCGGTTCAATCCTGGTAAATGTCCTGCCAAAGTTGATTAGGTCAAGGAATTATGAGGAAGGATGCTAGACTATAGATATACTATCTATGGTTTATATGCCTTTTGGGATATAAATAACAAAAGCCATGATCCTAACACTTTCATTGACTCAATCACCTTTGTCTGAGTCAAAGTTCTAAAAACTAGATGGTGACCTTGAATTTTCTCATCTTTTACTTATTTCACAAGAGAATTAACCTTCCCTTTATTCTGTGAAGCTCAATCTATACAAAGAATTGAAAATTATGTTGTCATGTGTATTACAAGGGTTAGAAAATAGTATAATTTCTGTGTATGTTTTCTTTTCTTGTGAATTTCTGTTAAATCAAATGGGATCACAGTTCAAGTTTATGGGAATGTAGATGAAGATGAAGAAATTACAGACTGTATCCCCAACAATGAAAACAAAAAAGGCATCTGAATAAAAAGCACTTTCTTTTTTGACTAGAGGAGGCCCCCAAGTGGCAAAAAGGATGTAAGATGCAATATGCAATGGGAGTCTTTTAAATTCTTAAATATAGATATACTTTACAGTTATGTTTAAGCCCAAACAGAAATGATTAAAAACGCATTACCTTGAAAGTAGATACATTATTTCCAATAGCTTCTATTACTCCAGCCACATCCGAGCCAGGAGTATAGGGCAAGCTTGGTTTCCGACTATAAGTACCAGATCGAATATATGTCTCCACTGGGTTTACACCACAGGCATGGACTTTTATTAGAACCTGCAAGCACAATGTATTTTAGTTCACATAGAGAGAGCATTCGGGCAATTATTCAGTATTATACAAGGACTGTGCTGATTATGGGATGTATAAAAATGAAATCAAAG